CGACACCTCCGATTATTTGCAGGGAATTGCTCATAATTTTCAATTCCAATCTTGCTAAATGGCCAAGTTTAGGGGGCACTCTCGTTTTAAAAAATGTCCTTTTTAAGGCATAAAAAGGCTCTTTTCAGAGCCAAAAAATATTTATTATTAAAAAAAAACTAGGCAACAACGAGTTACGTATTTTATTTTTAGTTATTTAGGGCCGATTTCACCAACACAGTTAATCACGATTAACGTTAACCGGAGTTTTAATCGTCCGAATTTGGCCGGTTAAATATCTGTTATCAGCCGATTAAGCGTTAACCGTAATCTTAGATCATATACTATGGATGGAGCCACTGCGTATTATAGCAATACAAAAAGTTGAAGCCGATATTAGCGACGAGTCACCGAATTAGGTGATCGATATGCGCATGCGCGAAACAACTCGTTTAATATTAATATTATAATCACCAGCTGATAAATATGCGAGAGGTTGCGTTGCGCATGCGCATATCGAACACCTAATTCGGTGACTCGGCTGGGATGGGGACCGTTTTAATATTACGAGTTGTTTCGCGCATGCGCATATCGATCACCTAATTCGGTGACTCGTCGCTAATATCGGCTTCAAAATAATATGCAGTGGCTCCATCCATAGTATATGATCTAAGACCGTAATTAACTGTGTTGGTGAAATCGGCCCTTAATAACATAATTAATTTTCCAAAATTTTCAGTTTCATATTAGTTAGTTTTTATTCTTATATTAGTCCCATAGAAACACATTCGTTTTGTAAAAAAACATACCATCGGCGTAGATACTCGTCGGCATTTTTTCCGTCGGCGTAGATACTAGTCGGCGTAGATGCCGTCGGCGTAGATACTAGTCGGCGTAGATGCCGTCGGCGTAGATACCGTCGGCCGGGTCTGCGTAAAGACATGGAACCGAGAAATCGAGTGAATATCCAATGTTGTAAAAATTTGAATTTCAAACGCTCATAAAAATTTAATTTGACCTTTTTATAGACATTTTTGTTTTGATAAAGGTAGATAATCTTATAAGAAATCTTATATTACATTTTCAAATCTTAGATTTAAAAAGAAAAATTGTTACGAATTCTTAACTCAAAATAATTTGCTAATTTTCGTGATTTTTCCATATTTTGTCAATTTTTGAACTTTAAATGCTTATAAAAAAAAATTGTGACTAAGGATTTTTAATATTTTTCATCTGCCTTTGAAACAATATACTAGGAGCATTCTATTAAATTTTCAAGCTTTCGCAACCAACAAATAAAAATGTATTGATATTTTTAGAAAAAAAACTAAAAACAAATGAAAGATGAAAATGTCCAAACAGTTCATAATAAATCAAAATATTTGAAAATGTTATCGTGTATAGAAAATGCAAATATAAACAACCAGTGAAAATTTCATGTAAATACGTTCATTTGTTTTAAAGTTACACCCAAAACCAAAATCGATTTTTTGGAAAACCGATTTTGCGTAAAAATTCCCGTTTTTCCTTAATTTTTATGTTGTTTATCCCGGCGCTTGTGAAAACTACTAGGAAATTTTTACTTTTGACCCCCCAAAGTACCAACTAGATTCATTTTCCTATCAGAAAAGCTACTGTTGAAGAAAATCGAAGCACTTTTAGTTTTTACTGTCCTAAAACGTGATGACAGACACAAAAAAAATTAAAAATTAAAAAAAAAACACACATCATTGTAAAATCAATACATTTATACATCGTTTCACTCAGAATCTAAAATAAGCAAAAACTGTCAAAAATTATTTGTGGTATAGCACATAATATAAACATGTATTATTATGCATAATAAATTAATAAATAATAATACATTATACACACCCAAACACATACTAGAAAACTAGCATTTAAATGTTTAGGTAATATTAATTTGGGACTTGGGTTATTGATATTTATTACTTAGGTAAGTACCTACCTATTATTTACTATTATATAAGGTGATAATTTTATCATGAAACACTCATTATTTCAAAAAGCATTAATGTTTTTAAAATATTTTTTTACATAGTTTCAAGTTTTTAAAAAAATCAACGTTTTTATTAAAATATTATATTTTTTATCCTTATAATCTTTTATTTTTTTTACTTTTTTGAATTACAACATAGAGTTTTAATTTCATATTCCAAAGTAGAATATTTTTCTAAGTATTTTGATTCATAAAAATCGAATTTAGGGCAATTAATTTATGAGTTATAATTATTTAAAGTTTAGATCAGGGGTTGGCAACCTTTTCAACCGCGCGGGCCATATTTTTTTTTCAAATGTTCACCAAGGGATCACATTAAAAAAAAAATTTAAATATGATATAAATAATACTAATAATTGTGTTGCTATTATATTTGATTATTTTACATAGAAATATGAGTGTAATAAAATACAAATGTTATTGGAAAAAATTGCTTTTAAGAAAGGCCACATAAAAAAAAATGTACATATTATTATGATATAATACTAATAATTGTATTTCTATTATATTTAATTATTTTACATAGAAATATGAGGGTAATAAAATACAACTGTTATTGGAAAAAATTGCTTTTAAGAAAAAATTTAATTGAATAAAAAATAGTAAATTTGTTATTAGTGAGATTTCTTTGCCTGCAGTTTAGTTTATTAGTTAAATTTTCGATATCAGCTTGCAGACTTGTTGTTGAGACTGGTAATGCAGCGCGTAAATGTTCTTATGTTCATCACTAAAGCGTGAAGAGTACTTATTTTGTCTGTACTTCACAATAGAAAATGTTTGCTCACGTATATATGTACTTACAAAGTTACAAACGCCGCTATAAGTTTTTGTGCGAATTGTCTGATTCTAGGGAATGTAGATATTGGAAGACAACTATAAAATTGAGGCAAACTAGTTGCTTCCCGAAAAGAATTTTTTAGAACCTCTTCATTTTGAAGTTCAATGACTTCCATTTGTAATTCATTCTTAACATTATTTATTTTTTTGTTTATTAACAAAAATAAAACACAAAAATTAGCCACCTTTGTGCGGGCCATCAAAAATTGCTTCGTGGGCCGAATTTGGCCCGCGGGTTTCCGACCCCTTGTTTAGATGGTACGGGGTTACCCCGAAAAATGTTTGTCCACTACTCTGCTTGTCGTAACCCGATAAATACAAAACGCGTAAGTAGGTACTAGATATGGGTGGATATTAAAAATATCACGGCCGAATTTATACGTACGTATTTTATATCCACGCAATCCGTCGCAAACCAAGGTTCAAAATATAATAAACATCGCTCCCATAATATTAGGAATAGCTAAAAAAAATAGCAATATTTAAAAAATTGTGTAGAGCATAGAAATGGCTTATATAAATATTCTGTGAAAATGTAATGTACCTATCTACAGTTACTTTTTTTAGTGACACTAAAAATTTGATCCAAATCTGGTTATGAGTAAAAATCTCAGTTTTTTTTAATTGTTTGTTTGATTTTCCTAATGCTCTTGACAACTTATGGGAATTATTTACATTTAACCCAAGTATCAACTAGATTCCCTTTCCTACCAGAAAAGATGCTGTTTAAGAAAATCAAAGCATTTTTAATGCCCCAAAAGGTGATGAGACTCAGAATTGTATTAAGAGGACCCCACACCTGCTTATGTTGTCTCCGTCTTACATGTGCCTAACATAGCAAATTATACGCTCAGCAGAACTCTATTAGTTGGGGGAAGAGGACTTAAAAATGTTCTTACTTTTCTTACACACAAGTAAACAATTATTACAGATACGTCCTTATCATGAACTAATTGAATTATTTATCATTTATGAGTATTGTGTAGGTATTTAACATCTACTATATTTGATACGATATGCTATAATATATAATTTAATGTAAGATATTTTTTTTTTTTGGGGGGGGGGGTCAGTCCTAAAGCCCCCCCTGGCAATAATGGCACATTGACATAGGCTTTTTATTATATTTTAATTTTAAAGGCGTTAAATTATTTAAGTTATGAGTATTTTAAAATTGTAAATTGTACATCTTAAAATAGGGCTGACGGTAATTTAAAATTATTTTGGTGAATATGGTATACCTTAAAAAATTGAAGCAAAGTAGGTACAAGAATTTACATAAATGAACTTAATTTTAAGTATAAAATAATTATTAGTGCAAATTTTAGTGCTGTTTTTTAGTGTCAATGGCAATAATATAGATTATAATAATATATATTATAGTATATAATAAAGTACCTATACATATAATGTGAAACAATAGTAAAGTAAAAAATATCGATACTAGTTAGATTTTATTTATTATTTTGGTATACCGTACCATATGGGTATTTAGGTATACCGTTTCAAACCGGTAACACCGAAAATTATTTTCAATACCGTCAGCCTTATCTTAAAAAACACATAACGGCTCTAAAATTAAAATATAATAAAAATCCTATGTGACAGCATAGATAATATTCATACTTCTAAATTTTATAATAAGTCTATTCACTCTAATTTTTAAATCAACAGAGCTAAACGTGATCGGCTGATAACAAAATTTGCTATGTTAAGCACTTGTAAGACGGAGACCACACATGCGGGTGTGGCGTCCTCTTAATTAAATATTAAATATTGTGATTTTATCATTATATAATATATTATTGTGTATATTGGTATGTATAAGAGTAATTAAAATTAATTGTATGAAATAGATAATTTAGATGATTAGCAAGATGTTCCAAGAAAAATATTTATAAGGTTATAAGATAAGAAGAACAAATTTCTTTAAACAAATTATCAAAAATATATGTATATAAAAATCACAAATTAAGTATATATGTGAATATGTGATATTAACTTATTATCAGCCAGCAAACTAGTAAATAACAAATTGTATAAATTATATTTTATTTTAATTAAACTAATGATTTTATTAGTTTAAAACATGGAGCAATAATTCAACAATAAAAAAACATTAATAAAGTATATTAATATGTTCATAAGTATTTATGTATGGGGCTTATACATTTTTTGAAACAATTTCTTGATCATTTTTTATCAAGGTAATATATTTTTCCAACTGTTGTGTCTTGAGCTTACACCAAACTAGGGGATCGGACAATCCAATAATACGAGATGCAGCCAAAGCAGCTCCTTCCTCTTCTCGTACAGTTACACACCCCAAACCTAGTTGAGAGTATTTGTTAAAAAAATAGTATTTCATACTTACAAGGTACAAAATATATATTATATACGATATTAAAATAGTAATTACCAGATGGAACATTTAATGAAGACCAAATATCCATATTTATATTGGTTGCATTTAATGGTGGACAGTTTATAACTGGCAAATTAGTATACCCAGCGATTACTGGACCTAAGCCGTTACTACGACCAGCTACAGCAACTATGACAACAGGAATACGTAAACCTAAAATACATTAAATATTAGTAATATACAATACTTATTAATTTACTAAATACTACCTTCATATTTATCAATCATTTTCAATACAAATTCAGTACTTTTATGTGCCGACCCAATTCTAATTTCAGTATTGATACCCATTACATTTTTTGTATATTCTGCAATCTTTTTACCAAAACTTTCATCACTAGATGAACCCATGACAACTACAACCTATAATAATTAATTGAAATTAATATTCTTACATATTCTGTAGGTGTTTTTGGGCTAAAAAATAAATGCATACCAAACCATTTGATTGTTTTTGAGAAAAACTTTGAACTTGTTGAGCAACCCATTTAAAATTTGTTTTAATTGTTTCCATATCGGCAGCAGTGACAGTGCTCAAATTTCTATATACTTGTTTGTCAACCATTAATCGTTTGTCTCCACTTGGCCACAACCTCCATGAATCATTATCAATAACATCAGCTACTAATATTTTACCTAAAATATATTAAATTAAATAGGTATTTTTAAGTATTATAAATTATTGAATTGTTCTATTCATATCAATAACAAATATACCTTCAGAACTAACACCAAATTCTATTTTCATATCTACTAAGGCAACATCCTTAGATGCCCACAACTTTTCCAATACTTCAAACACACAGATAGTAGTTTTTCTCATTATCTCATACTCGGCGTTTCCAATTGTTAAATTTCCAATGTTAAACTCTACGGATAGCAACTGTTGTTCAGACCACTGAGGATCATCATTTTTATCATCCTACTCAACAAACACAAAAATAAAATAATTTAACAAGGATATTTCAAATTAAATCTTGAATATTAAATATATTTAAATGATAAACATTTTAAATAATCTAACCATTTTTAAATTTAAATAAACAGAATAAAAATATATACTGTTTGATAGGTTAAATGCATGAGGTTGAAACTTCAAACTACTAATGGTATTAAGTATAATTTATGAAAATTCATAGAAAAATTATCAAATTATTTAAGTATGGTTAGATATTTTTTTAAGAACGTATACCTTGAAAAAGGTCTCCACTAAAGGTGGAGTAAATCTATAACCTTCTTTGACTCCTGGATTACGTTTCAGAAAAGATCCTGTAGCAATTCGACGAGATACCCATTCAATCGGAATCATACTACATTTTTTGCTAATAAATGTATTATCAGATAAACCGTTTTTTGAAACATATGCCGTATTTATTCCTAAAACAGAAAAGTCAATGAGTTGGTATATGTAATATATAAGTATTTAAAAAAATTGAATAAGTGTTAAGTGAGTACATAATAATATATACTTTATTAATATATTATAGTGTGCATTGTGCATAACCTACCTAAATCTTGTAAAACTTTAAATATAGCTGTCGTTGTTTCAGTAGATATGGCCGCTTTACCTTGCATTTCATCGCCCTTGGCGCCATTCCAAGCAGTTATCCTGTCTTTACTTACCATCAACACATTGTCTGTGCCGGGTAGATCGTATACAAGTTTGGTTTTTCCCTCGATGATCAATTCACCCATACCAATACCTTGACAAACAACAATGTGAAATAAACGTAAGCAAGCTTTTCAAAAATCGAACCAAATAATCTATTTTATAATCACCCTTGTTTTGGGGTTTAGCCATTACAAAAACGTCAAATATATGAAAAAATTAAATGGTCCGTGCAAAAGAGATGTCGGAGAGGATGTTTCAAGTCCAACGATCAACGAGCAAAGCTAACCACAGATTGGCGTATGTGTGTCTGTGAGTGCCGAGTGTTCGTGTCGGACACTTGGACCTTGGACGACGATGATTGCCAGTCCTACTCGACGTCGGCGGTTCGGCCCTATGGCTATAAATCGTCGAAACAATTTACAACCATAACCCCAACATTTTCCGGATCCCGCCAATTTCCAACTACCAAAATATACCAGCAAGCCAGCGCTGCGAGCTGATAACGACTAACATACTAACCTAAAAATCGTTTATTGCATTCAAACCGGTTTTGAGTTTGGCGGCTTATTGAAAACGTAAACAAAAAACGTGCTTGAAACAATCGAAACGGGTATCAGAAATTTGAAACGCAAATGCGCAATAGACGCACAGCCACACAGGCCACACTGCTGTAGACGAAAGTCGGATACACGTCTGGACTTCTGGAGTCTGGAGTAGAATACCTGACTACCAGAGACGGCCGAAATTATTACATTGTTGTTCTGTTTGGGCTCATCTCGTCTAATTGTTTCAGACTCTGAACTTGCCTGTAAGTACCTAGTACCTACCTACATTTTTTTATACATTTTGAATTTTTTTTATATTTGAATTATATTTTACGACATTAAAAGCGTTATGGTTCAGCAATATATTATTCGTAGTTCATTCGTTCGCATTTTCGATTAAAAATTATAATAAATTGATTTCGTGGTAACTATTTTTAAAAACCATTATCGAGATAAGCTACTTGTTGATTGTTCAGACTTCAGTTCCTTTTTCTGATAAACTATGATATCTTCACTCTTCAGTTCATGGCCAGATGACCTACAGCCAATTTAATTATAATGTGTAACAATTATTATTATTGTTATTTCTTCACCTACTACTACATAGGTCAATGTTACAAAATATATTATATAATAAAATAATATTGGGTATACATACAAAAAAAATCGAAGCCCACTTATGTTTTATTTGACCACCGATGATAATTTTATTTGTAATTTCTGCTGTTTCAACACATTTTTGTTGTTCACATAAAATACTCTAATTTTTTTAACTTTCTATTTATTTTTACATTTTCTATATTTAATAGGTCTCAATATTAATAATTGGTATGCATAACATTAATATGATTAATTATATATAGTTTAAATTATAAAAACTCATCACAATAATTGTTAAATTTATTAAATGTTAATGGGAAATTATTTTTTATTTTATTGTCATAAAAAATGTAGTTGATTTTATTTATTACACATACATAAATGTTTATTTGTTACATACTTTACATATGTGATGTATTCTATTTTATTGTCATAAAAAAATGTAGTTGATTTTATTTATTACACATAATAAACGTTTATTTATTACATACTTTACATATGTGATGTATTCTATTTTATTTTGTTTTAGAGTCAAATATGTCTATTGAAGAAGATGATAGGCAATTGCGCCACGAATGTGGTGTATTTGGTTGCATAGCTTCTAATCCATGGCCTACAGATTTAGATGTTGCCCAAATTATTTCTCTTGGATTATTAGCACTCCAGCACCGGTAATCTCGTGTTTTAATTTTAAATCTATTGTGTGTAGATTTAAGAATTAAATTATAGCTTAATAGCCTTTACATTTGTGAATGCACTCATGCAAAAGTTATCAGTGGCATAATTATTTATAATAAAACAACCGATAGCTTATGATTTTGACAACATTCTATCACATAACATTTCTATTTAACTCATCAATAAAAATACCACCCTTACAATATGTATACTATTAATTAAATACGCAAATACTATTTGATAAAAAAATTTAAAATTGTTCATCTTTAATAAAAATTACTATACCTATTTAACCTTAAAATAAATTATAATATATAATAATATGCTTTGTCCAGCTAATGTTTAGGAGTGTTTCCCACTTACAACTGTGGTAGAAATGTCTGGTGTAAGGAAGCTGTTTGGTGAAGGGGAATGTTGCGATTTTGTCACTGTGCACTATCCCAAACCTAACTAAAGTTTCCTTACAAGTTTTAAATTTACACTTTTTTAAATCTCTAATACAAATAAGTATTTTAATTTTTATAGAGGCCAAGAAAGTGCTGGTATTGCTGTGAGTGCAGGTGACAATCATACACACTTTAATGTTAAAAAAGGCATGGGTTTGGTCAGTAATATATTCAATGATGAAGCAACAAAAAATCTCAAAGGTATTAATTATCAATGTATAGTAATATGTACTGATCAATTATTATTTAATAAATTATGTTCAACAAGAGAACACACTTATTCTGTGCATCTCTACTCGACACTCTGCCATCAAGACTGATTCCACCATGGCAGGGTGTCGCATGGGAACGCGCAGAAGAACAGGGGCGGACTGGCAGATCGGGAGATCGGGAAATTTCCCGATGGGCCGGTTCTTGTGAGGGCCTGCAGGGCCGCTATAATTATTACAATATAATTACAAAAAAAATTAAATTTTTATAAATTAAGCATAAAATATATTAAAAATCAAATACCTACGAAGGTATTATTTTTAATATCTTAAACTATTGCAATTCATAGTAGGAATTTTGGTATTTACACTATTATCCCTCCAATTCATGCTAATGTATTATTTAGAAATCTGTGGTATTGGTATTTTAGTATTTATCAAGGTGGATATATAGATATATATATATATCCACCTTGCTTATCATTATTTGTATTTTTTTTTGATTTTGAACTTTTTACACAAACGAGTTACTGTACTTACAGAAGTGTGTTTAGTGTACAAATTCAATTGAACTGTGCAATTTAAATTATGTGTGATGCTGGTGAAAAAGGAAAGAAGGGTGGAGCTGAAAAGGTACGAGAAAAAAAGAAAAAACGGTTAATGGAAACTATTTACCTGGAAAATTTTTTTAAATTTTCAATCCTTATAGCTATACACGTTGAACATTTTATAAATTTTTAACAACAAAATAATTATTAAATTTTGTTAAATCTTGTTAAAATTTGAGCTTTAAAAAAAAATGTGTGGCTATGTATATTTAATATTTTTCAACTGATATTGTAACAATATATCAGGAGCCTTGTACTCAATTTTCAGGCTTTTTGGCCCAACAAATACAATTTTATTGGTTTTTATAGAAAAAAAAACTAAAATTTGAAATGGTCCGTTAAAACATCAAAAAGAGATAATTATTTTCAAAATTGTATGGTGTATACAAAATGCTAATATAAATATTCAGTAAAATTTTCAAGTATCTACATTTTACAGTCATTCGTTTTTTAATCACAACAAAATAAGAAAATCATTACATGAGAAATCGAGTGAATGTCAAATGTTGTAAAAATTTGAATTTCATAAGGTCATAAAAATGTAATTTGACTTTCTTGTTGACATTTTTTTTTGATAAAGGTAGACAAACTTAAGAGGAATTTTGTATTAAAAAGGTGTTTTAAAATTTGTTTACGAATTTATAACTCAAAATAATTTACAAACTTAATTTTGTAATTTTTACGTATTTTGTCAATATTTGAACTTTAAATGCTTATAGAAAAAAATTGTGACTGGATTTTTAATTTTTTTCATCTGCCTCTGAAACAATATACTAGGAGCTATTTATTACATTTTCAAGCTTTTTAACCAACAAATAAAATTTTATTGATATTTATAGAAAAAAACTTAAAAAAGACTGAAAATGTCCGTAAACAGCTCAAAGTAAGTCAAAATGTTATGGTGTATAGAAAATACTAATATAAATTATAAACATTCGGTCAAAATTTCGTGTTCCTATATATTCATATTTATTTTGGAGTTGCTTCATAAACCAAAATCGATTTTCTCGAAAACAGATTTTGCGTAAAAATTCCCCGATGTACTTAATTTTTCTTTTGTTTTTCACGGCACTTTTGAAAACCACCAGGACATTTTTATTTTTGACCCCCAAAGTACAACTAGATTAACTTTCCTATCAGAAAAGTGAATCTAGTTGAAGAAAATCTAAGTATTTACTATTTTTACTGTCCTAAAATTTGATGACAGACGCAAAAATAAAAAATTAAATTAAAATTAAAAAATTAAAAAAAAAACACATTATTGTAAAATAATCAATACATTCATCACTTCGCTCAGAATCTATAATGTAATAAGATACTAAACTTCAAGTTCGAGTTAGAACAGTCTGAACAGGTTAACCTTATCTGACTAACCCTAAACTGTTATAACTTTAATTATAGGTACCGATTATATATTTTACTAATTTATGGGTGAAACTAAACAAATTTTGAAATGTGATTAAAATGATGAAAATTTTATTTTTGGTGGGGGGTTACATTTGAGGGGCAGGGCCGGTTTGATCCATATTTCCCGGGCCGAAAAAATTCGCCAATCCGCCCCTGCAGAAGAACCAAATTTTTTTCGGGCTGCTATGTGTTCTCTCACTTGACCTACTATATTTAAATTGTACCATGTAGGTAATCTTGGTATTGGACATACAAGGTATTCTACTAGTGCTGGTTCTGAAGAAGTCAATTGTCAACCTTTTGTTGTTCACTCTGCTCATGGTGCTTTAGCAGTTGCTCATAATGGTGAATTATTTAATGCGGGGAGATTGAGACGTATGGTAAATATTACATTATGTTGTTGTACATTAACATGCTGATGTCCGTACGTAATTCATACGTCATGCCTGCCAAGCCACAGGTCTCAGTCATGTTTTTAAATTGTTTTGACGTGCATGACATTAAATGACGACTACTCTTTGTTATTACTCATTAGCTATCCATTTATTAAATATAATATATATTCTATATTTAGGTATTAGCTAGAGGGGTTGGTCTTTCAACACATTCAGATAGTGAACTAATTACACAAGCGTTATGTTTGAATCCTCCTGATATTGAAATTGATGGTCCTGATTGGCCAGCTCGTATTAGACATTTTATGGAACTTACAAAATTATCTTATTCAATTGTTATAATGGAAAAAGATAGGATATTTGGGGTACGTGATCCATATGGTAATAGACCTCTCTGCATTGGAAAACTGATGTCTTTAACTGAACCAAATAAAGGTAATTATTTTTGAAATATTATTTTAATTATAAATTGTCATAAAAAAAAAAAATTATTCTATTTCTACTTTGTTAAGCAGAAGAAGGTTGGGTTGTATCATCTGAATCATGTGGTTTCCTCTCAATGGGAGCTAAGTATGTGAGAGATGTCTACCCTGGAGAAATTGTAGAGTTTACTAAAGAAGGATTTCATACTGTATCCGTAATGGGTCGACCTCACAATCGCCCTCAAGCATTTTGTATTTTTGAATATGTATATTTTGCAAGACCTGATAGTATATATGAAGGTGAATATAAAATGAGTTAATTAATTCCCTTATTTAATTTTAATTTTCAATGCATCATACAAATAAATTATGATTAAAACATTGATTCATTATTTAAAATTTAAGTGTATAAATATATATTTTAGGACAAATGGTTTATTCAGTGCGATTGAGGAGTGGTATTGTGTTGGCCAGAGAAAGTTTTGTTGAAGCTGATATTGTAAGCTCAGTTCCAGAATCTGGAACTGCTGCCGCTCATGGGTTTTCAATGAAAGTGAGTATTTACTGTTTTATTTTATTGAACTATTGGTTTATTTGGTTAACTTCTATTTTCAGTCCAATATTCCATTTGCTGAAGTGTTATATAAGAATCGGTATGTTGGCCGGACTTTTATTCAACCAAATGCACGATTAAGAAGATTAGGTGTTGCTAAAAAATTTGGTGCTATTGTCGAAAATGTAGCCGGCAAGAGATTGATTCTTATTGATGATTCCATTGTAAGAGGAACCACAATGGGGCCAATTATAAAATTACTGAGAGATGCAGGAGCCAAAGAAGTTCACATACGAGTTGCTTCTCCTCCTCTTAAATTCACTTGTAATATGGGAATTAATATACCAACTAAAGCCGAACTTATTGCTAATAAATTAACTATTGAACAATTGGCTAAACATATAGGTAAGTGTATTAAGAGGATCTAATCTGCATGTGTTGTCTCTGTTTACAAAAGTAAAACAAAACAAATATGTGTTTTGTAGAATCAATTCTACAATGTTATGTTTATATTAAAGTGAATTCCCCTAATATCAAAGTTTAGAATATTATAGGCTTTTATTGATATTTAAATGTTGAAATTGTAATATTTTCATTGTTATAACTTATTAAGTTAAATTTCAATTTAAAATGTCAATAAAAGCCTGAGATGTCCTAGATAATATTCTTACTTTTAAATTTGATAATAGGACAATTTACAAAAAATTGAATATCACAACCTTGGAAAATTCAAATAATATTTAATAGGAATGATTAAAATTTTCTTTTGTTGAAATATTAAAGTTTGTAATATAGCACCTAATCCACTAAATTTTTTAAAATTTTTGAGTGCTTTTATATGATAATGATATTTGCAAAACCATGTACAGTTTTGTCCACTGGTCGAGCTGCAATTCAGTATCTAATATTGTGAAATATAATATAGTTTAAATTTAAATGTAAAAATATAATATATATTTACCTGAAACTGTTCAGCAATAATGTAATATATTAATATAAACTATAGGCGCTGATACCCTTGCTTATTTATCCGTCGAAGGACTCAAAGAAGCAGTTACCGAAAAAATGCCAAACAAAAATGCAGTTGAAGTTGGGCATTGCACAGCATGTCTCACTGGAGAATACCCCGAAGAATTAACTTTCTAAATGTTTAAAATGTCTTTATATCTAAGTATTATTGTAATTCATTTTGTTAATAAGAACATCATTTAAAGTTTGTAGTTTTTTACGTCTATAATTGTTAAGCATTTTGAGTTATTTATATGATGACAATAGATTTCTCAAATTTTTTAAAAAACGAGGTACTGATAACTTAAGTAAGAAAATTGTTAAAGATCTGCCTTTTAAACAACTATTGTTTGTATTTTATTTAATTCTTCTTAATCTTAAATAGGTATAGATCCAAATGTTATATAGGCATAAATAATATTAAATATAAATAACAAAATATTTACTATACATCATTATATTTTTTTTTTTTTTTTTATTTATTTATTTCTAGTTACAAGACAAATACATGATATAACAAAGACAGATATTAACTAGGCATTACTCTACACTGAGGTGAAACCTCGTGTCGTAGAGTAAGAGTACATTTTTTTTTTTTTTTTTTTTTTAGTAGCCGTGATAATAATGAAAGATAATAAGAGACCTTATATAAAACAAATAATAATAATAATTAATACAATAGTAAAAAAGAAAATGTAATGCTAGATATTTACAGATTAGTGTAAAACCAATTTTTTAATTTATATTTAAAATAAGAATAATTTGAAATAATTAATAATTCTTTAGGAATCTCATTTAAAGACCGTAATCCAACTTGTAAAAATGACATTGAAGCTTTTTTAGTATTAACGAAAGGTATTTCAAGATTTGTTTTTCTGAAGTTGTAAGTAGGATTTTTAATATTAAATAAATTATTTTTGAAGATGAAGCAAATAGCTTGTTTTTTGTATAAATTGTCAATATCAAGTACTCTTAACATTTTATATAATTCAGATGAAGGATAGGTTTTCTGTTTATTTAGAATGATTTTAATTAGGTTTTTTTGACTTATTAATAAGTTGCATTTTAAAGTGGTATTACAACCACCCCAAGCTATTATGCCATATTGAATTAACGATTGAGCCATTGCAAAATAAGTTATTCTAATTAGCTGTTTGTTTAGTATTTTTTTTGCTATAAAGAAAAAGTATGTTAGTTGTCTTAGTTTAACTATTAAGTATTCTAAGTGATTATTCCATTTTAAGTGTTGATCTATTGTTATTCCAAGGTATTTAATAAAAGGGTGTTTAATTAGTTTTGGACAGGTGCATGTTATAGTGTTGCAATTCAATTTTTTGTGTATAATGATCTCGTTTTTAAGTGGTGTAGTTTTAATGTCATTGGTAAAAGCTATAAATTTTGATTTGTCATAATTTATTTCTAAACTATTATTCGAAAACCATTTATCAATTATTAACATATCAGCTTCGCATTTTCGCCAAACTGTATCCCAGTTAGAGTCCGAGACTATGATGGCCGTGTCATCTGCGTATGAATAAATTTTTCCATTTATATAAAGATTACTTAATTCAGCTACGTATATAATGTATAGAATTGGGGAAAGTACTGTACCTTGGGGGACTCCGTTATGAATTTGACCTATTTCACTTATTGTGTTACCTATTCTAGTTTGTTGGGTTCTTTGGTTTAAGTATGATTCGAAAATTTTGAAAGCTGTCCCAGTAATGCCAAGAGAGTGTAGTCGATTTAGCAAAATAGAATGAGATATGCGGTCAAAGGCTTTGCTTAGGTCTAGGAATATACCGATAGTTTTATTACGTTTATCTATGTTATTATATATTTCATTTGTAAGGTGTGCTAATGCATCTTCAGTACCTAAACCATTTCTAAAACCATACTGTGAATTTGGTAATAAATTATTTTCTTCTAAGTAATTTAGAAGTCTTGTTTTAATTGCTTTTTCAAATATCTTAGAGAATACATTTAATAAACTAATTGGTCTGTAGTTAGTTAAACTCGTTTTAAGCCCACTACCTTTATATAACGGTACTACTACTGCCTTTTTAAATGAATCTGGAATAAGCCCTTCTTTTAGTATCTGATTAAAGATTATTTCTAATATATTGGACATAAATTTGTTAAATTTCTTAATAATATTAATAGATATACCATCTATACCGGGTGCTGAGTCATTTTTCATATTGTAGATTATATTGGATATTTCAGTTTTAGTAATTTTTCTTAAATATAGTGAGTGAGATTGATTATTAGAAATATTTGGATTTTGGTCTAATGTATTACTTTCTTTGTGGTTGCCTATATTTAAAAAATAATTATTAAATTCATTGGCAAGGAGAAGTGGATCTGAATTAGAATCGTATGTACTATTATTTATATTTAATCTGATATTAGATGGATTTGATGTATTTTGTGTAGTAGCTTGTTTTATAGTGGACCAGATTTTCTTAGGGTTATTTATGTTCGTTTTTATTTTTTCACTAAAGTAATTAATTTTTGCTTTTGCAATGATCTCGGATAATTTGTTTCTGTATTTTTTATATTTGTTTTTTAATAATATATTAAACGGTTCTTTTCTGGATAGTTTGTGTAGCTTATCTCGTTTTTTAATGGAGTTTAATATGCCTGGTTGTATCCATGGATTATTGATTTTTTTTGGCTTGCGCTGGTTATCAGTTGTAGATTGTTTTAATAAGTTTTGTAATGTAGTTGTGAATATATTTATATTAGTGTTTGCATTATTACTATCAGTTATGACGTCAACCCATTTTGTAAGTTTAATTAGGTCATTTAGCTTATTATAATTAATTGAACTATAGATAATTCTTTCTGCATTTATATTATTGTTCTTTATGTTGGAATCAATATCTATTATTTGAGTGATTACGGGATAGTGGTCTGTTATTAATGAGTCGATAAGAGATACCTGGACGGAAATCTGTGAGTTAGTATAGGTATTGATGTTTGTAAAAACATGGTCTAAACAGGTGTTTGATTCAGGGCGTGTGGCAATATTCACATGTGATGTAAAATTCAGTGTGTTTAGTATATCTAAATAGTTTTCCGTAGTATGTAATGTATCAAGTATGTTAATGTTTAGGTCACCTATGATAATTATTTTAGTATTTTTGTGAGTATTGAGTAAGTTTGTAATTATATTATTGAATTCTATAAGAAAGTTGTTGATATTGCCATTAGGAGATCTGTAGATAGATAAAATGCCATATTTATGGCCATTATGTTCTAATAAAGAGAATAAACAATTTGTGTCTTGGATAATTAATTCGATTGTGTCGTGAATTATATGTTCTTTTATAAACATAATAATACCATCGGATTTACGGACGTGATTTTTTGTAGATACAATATTAAAGCCTTTGCAAAATGTAATATATTTCGAGTTGAAGTCATTACCTATCCATGCTTCTGACGTAATTATAATATGACATTTTTCATTTAAAGAGATATATAGATGTTCTAAATCGCTTACATGTTTGTTTATACTTCTAATATTTGTGTGTAGAATATTGAGACTGTCGTTATGTTTAGATAAGTTTGTATTTATATCATTAATGCATTGTAATGGGGTTGTATCGGAGTCTAAGATTTCAAATAGTGTATTTGTTGATGTCATAATAAGCTTAGAGAATATGTAATAACGTTGATTATATAACTAAGATTAAATTTAGATTTAAGCGGCAATATAAAATTATATGTGTTAAAGGTCTTTTCGTGATGATAAGCTAAAGAAAATATTAATGAATATGTACACATTAAGAATAAAAATATATATACATGCGTTTATTTACATAGTGATGTTGACGTTGATATTATACTTTTTCTAGGTCTTGTTGTATACTTATACGGATTGTTTTTGAGCTTTCATCTTTTTTCATGAGGATGTCTCCGTTGTTGACCCATATGAATTTGAACTGTTTATCTTTTCCAGTTCTTCTTGCCTGCCCAAATAGAGTTCGACGGTCTTTCGTAAGTCTTTCATTGACGTACACTTTCATTTCATTAGACCAACTACTAAGAATATTATTAGCCGAGAGTTTGGAAATTTTGCTATTGCGTATAAGTGTTCTTTTCATCTCAGTAGTTTCGAGTTTGGCAACAATGATACTGTTCTTGGAGTTGCTGATGTATATTCTTTTTGCTTCTATGACGTTGATAGTAGTATTTGTTTTTAGTCCAATTTGTTTAACGATTTCAGAACAATTTTCATTTGTGGTTTGTGGTATTCCCGTTATATCGATGTATTTATTTAGATTGAATTGTTCAATGTTATCGATTTTGAGTTTAAGTGACGAGACCTCGCTTGATAAATATTTATTTACGTTTGAGATTTTTTCGTTTTCTATTTTTAAAACTTTTATTTCGCTGAGCATCGAGTCTACTTTATTATTAAAAACATCAAACTGCTTACCCATAAATTCAACAGATCTAATAAGTTCTTCAATTTTAGTTTCCATCTTGGTTGTTTTTGGTTGTTGTTCCATTTTGGTTACGCTAGATTCCGTTATTTTGCAATCACAACAAACAAATTTGCTTTTATTTGACTTTGATAGTTTTTTAAAATTGGTTTCAGAGATACCTGTACAGTAGAAATGTACCGTACTTTTGCAAACGTTACATATTAATGTATCTTCATTATTGGTTAGAGTTTCTGAACATTTGGCACATTCTGTATTCATGATAGTAACGTGTAATCTGAGAACGGTAATTAATTAATTGAGAGAAAGAGAAAGAGATAAGGGAGTCGACGTATTAATCGACTGTATCGGACGGTGCACAGAACAGTACTGAAATATATATATATATATTTTTTAAATGATTATCAAAATTTTTGTTTTTTTTTTAAATATTGTTTATTAAGAGTTTTATATATTAGTTCTCTTAAAAATATATTAAAGTCATAAAATTATAAATAAATATTTGTATTAATATTTAATTGTATAATATCTTTATCTTCATGGTAGTAATATTATTCAAGACTATTTAAGATGTTATGGTAATATTGTGAAGTCAAGGTCCCTCTTCTAAAAGAATATATAAGACATTAAAAGGACGCTACAACATGTGTTGTCTCGGTCTTACAAATGTACATCATAACAAAA